AACTTTCGATAATCAGGAGGGACACTGTACCTTTAATTGTCAATTTTAGGTCCAGTATCGCAAAATTTAGTTAGTTATTTGTTCTATTTCATTTAGTTAGTTATTTGCTGTTAGGCGCACGGAGTTGAGAAAAGCGCCCTTTAAAAATGTAAATATTATTATTATTACAGAGGTATTAAAATAATACTTCGTTCACATGAAGCGACTGACAAAACATAAGCTTCTTTCTCTAAAATGTCACTTAATTAATCAAGTATGCTAGAGAAATACACTTAGAGATGAAAGATAGGAAACTTAAGATAACTTCTCTTTGAATAAAATCTCCATTGTATCTATTTATGCATTTTTTACTAAAAAGTGACCTGCCGGAGGAAAACAAAACAGACAAAAAAAACAAAGCACGGATCACAAGTTCCGGTTATATTGCCCCCACTAGCCTGTGTAGCAAGCGTTCCCGTACGAGGCGAACGTGGGAAAATGCGAAGGAGCAAAAAGGTGGAAGGAGGGGCGGTGGGGGAGGGGAGCGAAGGGAACGCTTGCCCGCAAACCCCTCGATTCTGAAAAACCCGTTCGCCCACGAACGGAGCTTCTGATTGGTACGGCGTGGTATATTTGATTGATAGGTTTGACATGTAGGTGTCAAATTGTTACGCTAACTTGGGATCAAAGAGATCAAAATGGCGGAATGTGTGGAAGATTTTGAATCGTGTTTGAGCGAAGTTTTGTTGAAGCTCAACGAAACCGGGATGGCTTTTTCGTTGAAAAAAGAACAAGAAAGTGCAATGCGCCATCTTTTTAACGGCAAAGATTTAATGCGATTTAAAATGAAAAACTGAACTGCTTGGACGATATTCATCAAGGGAAGTTCAAGGTTATTTATGCTTCAGCTGAAGCCGCCATGGATAAGCGCTTTCTCGAAGCTCTAAATACAAAAGATTCGTTATTTAACGAAAATATGGCTGCGTGTGTTGTAGACGAAAGTCATACAGTAGAAACTTGGACGGGGCTGAGGTAAACTTGATCGCCGCTTTGAAATCGCATTTAATGTTGTTTACCCCACTTGCTACTATTTTGACAGTAAATAAACAAATTGATTTCATTATGAAACATGCGAGGCCTTGTAAATAAAAGTCCTTTGACTTAATAAGTGTACGTGTGGTATTTGCGGTTGCTTGTCAATTCTTGTTACTTGCAGTAGGCGCATGGCGCATGCATATTGCCTTGCTTGCCAATTCTTGTTAATTGCCGCACTATTTGTTTACTTTCTTCCTCCTGGGGAATTCTCGTTGTCGTTTTGCCGGTACTATCAACGATCACTACTTTAACGTGAAGTGTCCCATCGGTTGGTAAATCATCGATGTTCTAGTTCGAATCAATGCACTCCTTTAAGGCTTTCTGGGACTGTTCAGCTGTTCTTGCAAATAAAGAGTTGCGAGAAGCTTTAGCAGAGTTGACACGAACAGACTTGCGACAAGGACTGCTGCCCGGCGGAGTTTCGAGCAGCCGCTTGGATGCGTTAATCCTCTGTTTTGGTAGAGTTTTGCAAGCAGCAGCCTCACTGCCCATTGAACTCAGTACGAGCTGGTATAGTGTTCCCAAATTCCTTATTTTGTGAGCGCAAGGATCATATACACGGTCTGAAAATAGTTCGTTGTCTTCCACTACTTCGACTCTAACCGCTCTGCAAGTATCGGAAAGGATTTCTCCTCGTGTATCTTTTCGTTTTGATGGTTTGAAAAGATTTTCTGACGAAATATAGCCAGGTTTACCAGGTTGAGATGCTGTTCCGAATTTAACCTTGAAAGAACACCGACAAATTCTGTAGCGTTCGCTTGGAGTTTCTCGCTCTCGGGTGTTCGACATCTTAAATTTTCCCGGGTTTGACAACTCACATGGAGTATTTGTTTTGAAGGAAGTAAACTTTTACATCCGGTAATCTGTAATTGGCTTACTCAGTGACAGACTGTCAATCACTGAGTGAAATCAACCGTTGAACGCTTTTTCTTATGTAAAAACAACATCATAAAAGTGTCCATCAAGATTTATAGCATCCATGTATTCAAGTCATCTTGAAGGGTTAAATGTTCCCTAAAACACGTCAGAGCAAGGTCGTCAACAACAATAGTGCGTTCAATTTCTCCACAAATAACCATTCTTCGCTCGGGGTGAGTGTTGCGATAATAGTGATAAAAATGGTGGTCTAGAGCCTCATAAAAACGCCCTCGAACACGCATATCTGTCTTTTCGTCAGGGCCTGTTTTTTCCGTGGAAGGGCATTTAGTACCATTTGCTTTCCTTTGAACTTCAAACGTGGTGATGTAAGACGTTATATTAGTGTTTCCAGTCTTTTTAGGGTCGATATTTTCCCCGGCCATTAAAATCTCTCAGTTCCATCATTTTGTCCCTTTGCGTGAACGTGCGCAACTGATCCATGTGTTGCTCGAAAGAAAGCAGCTCGTCGTAGGACATTAGACCATCACCGTGTTGATACGCTCTACACGGTTTCAGCCGTCTGCAAAGTGACTGCACAGGTCGTGGGAGGATCTTGGGGGCAATGGGTTAATCGTTAGTAATCGCGTTCTTAGGCGAATCACCGCGGCATATTGATCCAATATTTGCTGTACGCCAGAATGAACGTATGTTTCATCTTGTCTTTGTACGTCCTTAGAACCCTTCCATTTCGAGAGAGCAAGGTCCTTGCTTTGCAGCGGCTTGTAATGATGGAAAATTATTGTCGATTGCCACATGGGATTTGTAGGACTCGTTTTTCTGTTCTTTCTCGCGAAGAGCTAAAGGCGTTTGACTTTTCACATTCGGACGCCTATCAAGACGAGGAAGCTTAAAAAAAATTCAGCGGCGAATAGTCATCTTCACTGTTCAGTGATTTGAGCAATGTTGCATAAAAAGAGCCGCATTTCGCCTGTTATTGTGCGCTATTTCTTTGGGCGTTGCCCTTCTGAAAAGGAGATTGTAGAATAAGGAGTATTTATCATCGGGATTGTACATTTAATAGGCCAAAAGTGGAACTTAAATCTATTAGTTTTGACAGGAAGGGAAACAACATCTGCTGGGAAACCGCTGGAGTTTGGAAAGGTATTTTACCATGTCAACATACTTGAGCTGCAGTGCGCTTTCACGGCATACACGGCATTGAGTGGCCAGTGGGATGACTGGACTTGGAATTGACGGAGCCTTTACCCTCGCGGTCAACCTAACTAAAACGATTACTACGGACTGTGCGGACTGCAGACTGGTGATTGAATGCAGACTGAGGGCAAAATGCAGACTGCAGATGGCAGACTTTTTAAATGTGTTGTTTGCGTTTTACACTGACCGATTACCCTCCTGCATAATTGAATACGCTCTTTTTACATTAGAACGTCTAATTTTGAAGCTGAGGCTGAACGTTCTTATATTTGTTTTTTGCGATTTGAGGCTGATAATGTTCTTAAAGATGTTCTTTAATTTACATGGTTTACAGTATTTCAATAAATCAATTACTAGTACCATTGAGTACTATAACTCCAAGGCTGAGAGAATATAAGGTCATCAACCTTGATAATACTTCAGAATTTGTACATGTACCTTTTGATGACTTTGATGGTGTGGAAGTTGTTTTGGAACAGTTATGAATAAGAACTGCTGATTAATACAAACCGAGATGTGTGTCATGCAATAAGAAAACCATTGTTAATATTATACAAAACATGTCCTTAGTATTTGGGTTAATTTACATTTTTTGTTACCTTTATTTTATGCTTGTCATTTAAGATACAGATTAGCAATATAAAAACGTTCTTAATCGACTCAGCCTGAGGAATGTTCTTAATACGTTCTTAAAATTTTGGTCTATCTCCGCCTCAACGTTCTTATAAAAAAGGTTCTTATGAAAAAAAGGAGTGTATGTAAAGTCATTTAGCCGATGTTTCACAACGAAAACCTAATACAGTCAAACTTGTATACAACGGCCCTGTATATAGCGGTCACCCTGTGTATAATGATCACTGAACAACTTCTCAAAATTTGTTCCTTATATTTACTGTTAAGTTGACCTGCATATAGCGGTCACCTGTATATAACAGACGCGGTCACCCTTTAGACTTCCTGAATCCACAATTTCATTATCTTTTACCCATACATAACGGTCACGAAATTTGGTTACGATTAACGAATAATGACAAGCTTTATTCATCAGCTCGTTAAATAGCAGCTACCAAGGCAGGGATATCACATATAATTATTAGTACTAAACACATCGGCAAAGTACGACACATGCTTGCGGCAGA